TCTCTCTCTCTCTCTCTCTCTCTCTCTCTCTCTCTCTCTCTCTCTCTCTCTCTCTCTCTCTCCGCTTCTGTCTCTCTCTCCCTCTCTCTCTCTCTAGTGCGAGCGGCGAATGGTTTGCCGCCATGGCTTCCATCCGAACCTACTCATCGATGTTGCGGATCTCGCCACGGAGACCCGGGCGGTCGTGCAAGGGAGGATCCGGCCAGACCCGGAAATCCGCGGGAACAGTCATGCGGCCGTTGTGCTCGTTCGCGATGTTGGACATCAGGAGGTCGACGATGTGAGCGAGAACGTCTACTCCTCCTTCCCACCGGTCGGGGATCGCGCGACCGACTTTCGTTGCGTAGCCAACCACCTCCCGCAACATGTCATCCACATATCCCAACGCGACGACGACGTTGAGAATCGTGTCACCGTTCGCGTCCACCTCGTAATGCCGCATTTCCTGTCCAATGACCTCGCCCACAAAATCAAACAACCTGTCATCCTTCTCTCCTCGACAATGCCTCATCTCGTAAAAAGTTATGGTACGACCGAGGACACGACCTCTGAGTGCCACCTGGATGTCCATTGATTCGCAGCGCCGCACCCCCGCACAGCTGCGATGTCCGATGTCGACTTCCGTAACGACAACCCCTCGATGACCGCCACGTGCGATTTCACTATTGCCACTGTGTTCCACTTTGAACACGAGTGCGCAATTCACCATCCTCCGTCCCCTGTATCCGCTTCCCCACCACCAGCCTCGACGCACATATGACCTCGCACTTTCGGCACGTCAGCTCCCACGAACGATCTCTCACGTTGGCGTGGGAAACACGATGCCATGACCTTTATTAAGTTTCGCCGGCATCGTCGTGCACCCTGAGTTGATCGCCGAGATGAACCGCGTCATTTCAGCGCAGGGGCCAGATCCTATCAACCCCTCCCTCCCCCACACCAACCCCTCCCCCACACCGACCCCTCCGCCCCTGCCTCCAAACGACCCGCCCCATCGGTGATGCGACACACGAAGCTAACACCATGGATGGGTTGCTTATCCCCACCCCTCTTGGACTTCATCCAACCTAAAGACCACGGGTTGCGACCACCCGCGACGACTGCAAACGAACAGTCGATGAGAGCAGACAAAAAAAAAAAAAAAAAAAAAAAAAAAAAAAAAAAAAAAAAAAAAAAAAAAAAAAAAAAAAAAAAAAAAAAAAAAAAAAAAACATCAAGCCAAAAAATAAATAAATAAATAAAAAATCTTCGAGATATAGAGACAAAAATTGTTCAACAAAGAATCATGTGAAATGACCCTACACAAGCTGACGGACAGGTTCAAAAGCCAGTGGTCGGCATCGTTGCGGATCGTGAAAGACAACGTCATGAAAAACGCAGCAAAAAAAACAAAAAACCAAAAATGAAAAAAGAATGGAGGGGCGTAAACTATCGTTGAAATGACACCCCGCGCACCGCCCTTGCAAGCGCACCGGCCTAGGTGTTGGGGTTTGCTGTCCCGTGACAACCTCGCAATCAATCCCTGGCCAATGCCGACGCGATCTTAAGCAAAGCTTCACACAGCATCCGTTGCCCGACGTCGAGAACTTCGCATTGCCTCTCCTGCGTTCTCGCCTCCCTCTCCATTATGTCGCACTGTCGTTGGAGCCAGTCGCACTGCCGCTTGCTCGCGCGGTCTATGGACTCCGCGACAATGGTGGAGTGCGTTTTCATCACATCCGTCACCGCCTCGAAAGCCAGTTGCCTGGCGTTCTTCCGCTTGCCTTGAATGTCGTTTGAAGACGACCTGCTGCCACACCCGTCCCCCGTATCCGCTCCCCTGTTCTCGCTCGCCGAAGTGTCTGCTTCCCCACCACCCGCTGCCACTTGGCTTTGCTCACCTTGTTGTGACTATTGTCCTTGTGCGTTGCCGGTGTCCATGAGATTCGGCGGGTGGACGACCAGGTTGTTCCCCTGCATGATGTGGATCGCGTCGTATAGAGTGCAGTCTAGATTGAACCTGTACCCTTTCTCCTTCCGTGCTTTCGTTGTCATGAGGAAGTACGATTGCAGTCCCGAATCCTTCTCCCTGTCCCACACTTTCCTGTACCACCCGTGTATGTTCTCCCATCTCTTCATGCATTGCTCCCCGTCTCGCCGAACTCCTTCCTTCTCCATCCGCTTTGCGATGTCCATCCACTTCTGGTCCTTCGTTTTCATTCTGGCGAAATTGGTTCCCGCATTAGCGAAGTAGTTGTCTTGGTCTCTCTTGCACCGGACAAGAACGAGGGATTCGTTCAAACTCCAGTTCCCCCGCGCTCCGCTCCCGCCACCCTCGTCGTTCGTATCACCTTCCTTATCCTTACCCTTCGCTTTCCCACGGACTTTGGAAGGTTGCTTTTTCGTTCGTCCGGATACTGCTTCCTTGACCGGAGCTTCGTCTTCGTCTTCGTCGTCGGCGTCATCGTCTTCTACGTCGACGTGGTCCGGCTTGCTGGCACCACCTTCACGGCCGCCCACATCACCGTCACCGGTCGGCCTCGAGCTATTGTAGCGGCAGACAATACGCTCCACGCATCGAGCTGATTCCGCAACCCCGCACAGATCAAGTCTCCGTTCCTGCATGGCCGCGCCTGCTCCGTCACCTTCGCTGGTCGCCCGCAAGCTGTTGAACCGGCAGACGATACACTCCACGCATCGAGGGGATTCCGCAACACCACCTACATCAGCCCTCTGATCCTGCATGGCAGCGCCTGCCGCAGGTTGGCGACACGGCACGCTGCCCGCTGGTGCGGCCTGGCTAAGCGCAAGCCTTGACATGTGGTTCGGCCGGTGCATTGACACCCCGTCGTCAAGGACACTGGCATGCATTGTCTGCGTGCTCGCACCGCCACCCTGTCCACTCCGCTGGACGAGGACCGTTCTAGAAACGTCCATGGTGGCCGTCGGTGATAGTTGCAAATCGAATGGATGACGGCCTCTGCCCCGCGTTTCGCCCAGCAAAGCGGACATCGGACCCACACCCCCTCCGGTGCTTTCAACTCGCGGTGGTGTGTCGTAAGACGTCTGTGTCGACCCCCATGCGAGACCCAATGTCGACGGAGGGGGCGTCGTCGTGTCATCAGGCAAAGGCTACTGGTGAGGAGGGAGATGCGAATACGAATTTGGATCAAACCTGTGGTGGATATTGTGTGGCATTCCACTCCCTCCCCCGTACGCCCCCCTCCCCATCCCAAAACCCTCACAACCCCGACTGTATTCGTCCCCCATCCATTTGCTCCCTGATGCGCCCTGTCGAACCGTCTTCAACCCCTTCCTCCTTCCACGCCGGATGCGAGCACCAGCCAGGTGGCACGCGTGCAGAGCTATGAGCAGCACCACCGCCCCAATCAGGATAATTAGGAGAGCTAGCTTCCTCACCATGTCAGCCATGCGCGCCTGCAGCCAAACACGACACACATATCTGCTACCTTTCGATGACGACAAAGCGCGGTAGCAGAGGAGTGCAATATAGCGGCTCGCGGAAAAGGCCCGGCAGGTGACGGGCAGCGCATACCACCCAATTCGAAACAGACGCCGCCAACAGCACTCGCGCGCCCGCCTCCGCGGTGACCCCCGCAACGGTCGTCTCCACACGCAAGCTGAAACGGCTAGCCGGAGGTACCGCATGGCCACAGCCGGGCCACGGCGCTGCCCGTTGGAGACTACCGTGGAACCGCCGTCCCATGGTGTACCGGACAACCCAGCGTTTGGACTAGGAACGCGAAGGAAACACCTGAGGAAAAAAAAAAAACAAAAATGTCGGCGGTTTTCCCGTGGAAAGTAAGGGCGCCACCCCTACTTTCAAGTCACCTCCACGGTCGTTCTTGCGTTTGCGTCCGTTTTGGCTGGGGAGACCTCATTTTTGTAGGGCTCGCCCTTACGCCCGCGAATGTGAAAACAAATTTCGCATCTTTTTTTTCGTCATTAGAGAGAGGTGGAACGATGAAATCCTTACATGTAAGGGTTTTCTAGTGGTGTCGAACGAGGCCCAAATTCCCTTGCCCCGCAGCTACACAGGCCCCGCTGACAAATGGGCACACGAATGGTACAAGGGCCTCGTTCCACACCACTGCACTTCACTCGAAACTCCAGTGTGCACTTGACCCGTCTTTCACCGTAAATGTCATTAAAAACTACTTGAAGCTGGCACGGTTCCACTCAACCCTCGAGTCCGCCCTTGAAATGAGCGGGAACAGAGGTTCAACAAGGACAATGGCTTTAGGAAAAGGAGAATAAACAGGGAAAAAAAAAACATCGGGGGTTCTACACGGACCTGAAACCGCCTCGTGCCGCTGGCTTGCACACTTCTCAAGGGCAGCTCAAGTGCGGCCCAAGAGGTCACTTGAGATATAGGGCCTCGTTCCACACCACTCCACTTTAGAAATACTTGAGAAATTCACTGTTCCACACTGCACTGCACTTGACTTTCACCTTCCCTAATCGCGATTAGGCTTCCTGCCTCTCCCGGAGCCCGCCAAAAACGTCAAGTGCAGCTCAAGTGCGGCCCAGGCGAATCGGTGAATTTTTCAAGTCACCTCTCCGACCACACTTAAGCCGCACTTCAAAACGGCGCAAGTGGGAGTCGGGAGGTGGTTACAGGTGTTGTACGGCTCCCCCCGTCGGTTTTTTGTTGTCTTGTTTTTTTGCGGTGGTGTAGTGGACGTCCAAGAATCGCCGTGGTCGCCCTCTGAAATTCGAATCGCGGCGCCTCACAGGGCAAAAAAAAAAAAAAAAAAAAAAAAAAAAACGCGACGGAGGACGGACATTCCGAATGTCCGCTGGACCCTACCAGTAATTACCCCCCCCTTTCCCTTGCGCCAACAGCCGCGGCCACTTTCCCGCTTCGGTTTTGGAGTGTGGAGTGGAGGGTAACGTCGAACGGTGAGAGGCTGAAGTATTTTCTAATGACGATCTCCCTGTGAGGCGGCTCAAGTGCGGCCCTTGAAACTGAAGTGAAGTGAAGTGGTGTGGAACGAGGCCCATCGCCGCCTTTGCCTGGGCCGCACTTGAGCTGCCCTTGAGAGTTTCCCGCCCTTCTGCCAATCGCAAAAACCTAATGACATCCCACCAGTGATTAGCGAAATCCAAGGGCACCGTGGAACTATGTCGAGCAAGAAACCCTTGAGTTTCGAGTTGTGTGGAACGAGCCCCCAATTAGGACTTTGGCAAATTTGTGTGACCGGGAAAATTTCCAACGTGGTGCGCATAGATTGTGCTGACCGGTAACGCTAATCCTAGCGTTAATCGGGGCGCTACTCAGCATCAACAACGGGGTGCTAATCATCACCAGCACCATCATCAACAGGGCGCGGTTCGACACCATCATCACAGTAAGGGTTCGTCATCATCATCAGGGTGCTGTTTGTTATCATCATCATCATCACCATCATCATCAACAGGGCGTGGTTCGACATCGTCATCATGGTAATGTTTCGTCATCAGCATCAGGTGTCATCACCATCATCATCATCACGGTGCCGTTCGTCATCAACATCAAGGCGTGGTTCGCGTCATTATCGACACTGCTCATGATGATGATCTGTAACGAACTATTTTCTGTGATCGCGCGACTTTCTGTGCGGAGCTGCTTGGGAAAATACGACGGGTCGGATGGGTGACCTGTGGGAAGATGGGTCAGGCGAGAAAATTGCATGAATGTCCTTCTTTCTTTTCATTTTCTGCTGGAAGTTGTCGGATCGGTGTCGGGGAAATCCCGTGCCAACGGTTGGGTAGCCGCGCCATGACGAGCGCGAGAAATAATTGTACCACAGCTTCTTTCTTGTTCTGTTGTGCGCACTGGGAATTTTGGCGCGATCATCGCGCGGGAATATCGTTTTTGAAATTTCAACTAATGTCGAGCCCCCACGGGCTCGCGGAATTATTTTTCTCTTTTTCGCAAATTCCTTTTGCAATTAAGACTTAGGCTAGGAATTTTTTGGTGAGTCACGCTTGCGAGCATCTTGCTGCGCTGGGAACTGGGCTCTGACTGGATCGCGCCCTTAATCTTGTGCAACTGTCGTTTTTGGCGGGCGCAATTGTAGCTGTACCTTTTTCTTTTTTGGTTTCCTCGTGTTTGCCCGCCTTCTCCTTCTTCCTCGGCTCGCATATTCTGTTCTAATTGGCCGGAGCGCCTGCATGACGGGATAGATGTCTAGAGTGTGGCTACGACCCCCACGCTGCGGCCTGCCCATGCAGACGTAGGCACTTCCTCTCTTCTCCTCTTGTCAACCTGGGCTTAATCCCGAACCTTTCACGCAGGCATGCATGCTATAAATTTTGCAAGTGTGATTAGTTTGCTCTCTAAGAATTTTGAGGTTAGCACGAGCAGTGAGGGTCGGCTAATGAGCAAGTTTGGAAGGTGAGTGGGTGCGAGAGTTGGGCAATCTGACGAGTTGGTGTCGGGTACACGGGGTTGGCGTGTGGGGCCACGACGTACTGTGGCCCACGGGTGAACCTGGTTTGCCTGCTCGAACCAAGCGGGGTGACAACTCAGTGTTGATGCGAGGGGACGAACTGCCTGCATCCTGTCTCTTATACACATCTAGATGTGTATAAGAGACAGCTCTCTCTCTCTCGCTCGCTCGCTCGCTCGCTCTCTCTCTCTCTCTCCCCCCACACACACAACCTCACCGAAGACGATGAGGGCGAATACGACGA